GAACGCTGAGTTAGTAGAATTTTACAAAACTGAGATTGATAATCTCTTACAAAAGGGTTTGATTAAACCTTTCAAGTCTCCTTGGTCATGCGCAACCTTTTATGTTAATAACGCGGTTGAAAGAGAACGAGGACTCCCTAGATTGGTTATTAATTATAAACCGTTGAACAAGTTTTTAAAATGGATTAAGTATCCTATTCCAAATAAAAAAAGATTAACTGTCAAGATTATATGATGCCAATATATTTTCAAAATTTAATTTAAAATCAGGTTATTGGTAGATACAAATTGTTAAAGAGCATTCTTATAGAACAACTTTCAATGTCCTGTTTGGACAATACGAATGGAATGTCATGCCTTTTGATTTGAAAAATGCTCCATATGAATTTCAGAAAATTATGAATGATATTTTCAACCCTTATATGGATTTTATTATTGTCTATATAGATGACATTCTAGTGTTTCTAAAACATTTGAAATGCATATCAAACATCTTGATATTTTCAAGAAAATTGTAATACAAAACGGTTTGGTTATTTCAAAACCAAGAAAGAGTTTATTTCAAACATATGTTCAATTTCTAGGACATCAAATTTGTCAAGTAAAGGTCACTCTTATTCAAAGAGCTATTGACTTTGCCTTAAAATTTCCTGATGTTGTTACCAACATGACTCAATTGCAGAGATTTTTGGGAAGTTTAAACTACATTTCCCCGTTCTATAAAAATCTTTCTCGAGATTTGGCCTCATTATATGATAGGTTGAAGAAGGATTATAAGTCTCCTTGGAATGACAATCATACTAACTTGGTCAAAGAAATCAAGTCACGAGTGCAATCACTACCATGCTTAACCCTCGCCAATCCTGCTTGGCAAAAGATTATTGAGACGGATGCATCTAATATTGGTTATGGAGTGATTCTTAAACAGATTAATCTCCATGATAAAAATGAATATCTGATTAGGTTTCATTCTGGAAAATGGAATGAGGCTCAGAAGAAGTACGCAACAGTGGCTTATGAAATGCTGACTATCGTTAAATGCGTTTTAAAATTTCAGGACGATTTATACAACCAAAAGTTTTTGATAAAGACTGACGCTCAATCGGTTAAATTCATGTTCAATAAAGATTTCAAGCATAACGCTTCGAAATTAATATTTGCAAGGTGGCAAGCACAATTAGCCCCTTTTGACTTTGAAATTCAATATAAAAAGGGAGTTGATAACTCATTATCGGATTTCTTATCAAGGGAATACATTCAATAATCATGTTTTTTCAGACCTTTCTTGATAATGAAACTCTCGTTACTTTACTGAAGGTTCTCACATCTTTACCCAGAGATCTGAAAGATCTTATCATTACAAAGATTATTGATAATATTTTAAATGAAGATTTCTCTCATATTCTTGTAGAATATTACTCAGATGATATCTGATAGATTATTTCTCTGAATAATGACGAAAGGATGTTATGTCTACATGATGGATCTACCATGGATTCACATTAAAGGAAAAGGAAGGGGTAGATTAGCCCAGGAAGAGGACTGTCATACGGAGCCATAGCCAGTTCATCACAAGGATCGTCATACAGATCCTCATCAAATTCCCCAGTTATACAATTGGGAAAAAGAACGTTGATCAACAAAAAGACTACCTATGAGATGTTTTCATCCAGTTCGAAACAAATGGTTAATTTAGAAGATATTCCAAAAGATAGTCCATTATATGCTCATATGCAAGCCTACCTGGAAGGTCAAAAGCAAAAGAAAACTTTTGCTTCTATCGTAAAAGAGGATACTGATGGATATCAGATCCTATGAAAAATTGCAGAAAAAAGAAATGATATTTCTTTTAGAAAATTATGACCTTCAGAGAAAAGAAGAACCTTGGAAGATATTTCAAAGGTACTTGATCAATGAATTATACTATCCAGGTGAGTCATACAAAACTCGATCGTATTACGAAGAAATCTTAATAAGTTCAGTGAGTGCAGAGTTTCAGCACTTTTCAGGCATGGGTCATAACCCTCATGAGAAAAGTTATAACTTTTCCAAAATCATTATTAAACAGATCATATCTGTTGAAGATTGGGGTATGTCTACAATGAAAGAGAGGCAGATAAATCTTAACAACACCAGGATGAGTTTTACCTATTGGGATTATATCCAAACATTTGATAAAGTGCTTTATTACAATAATGATAAGCATAAACACACTTGATTCATAAAAGTGTGAGCAAAGATTTTTGCAGAGCCAATTCCTAATTGGTTCATAAATTGGTGGTCATACCACGGTCCGCAATTTAAATTCTACCGGAACCATTCCTAAATTTATATAAAGAATGGACTAAAGTATCGCCGAATTTAAACAGATTATAACTGCTGGTTGGAGAAAATAGACCAGATCTATTTATTTTTTTTATAGAATTCTCGATTCTATGGATTCACAAATGGACTCCTGAAATAGGATTCACGGAGGAAGATATTCCTTGTCTTTACCGAACTTATTACAATAATTCTTGGAATAAGCTTATGAAACAAGATCCCAAGACCAAACAATTAATCGGTCAAGAACTTCTAGACTCCATTAGTAAAAAGATTAAGGAATATAATCAAATCCCACAAAAAAGAGTCATTAACGATACCTCCGTACGACATATCGCCAGGTGAATCTCCTTTCAAGAAGGAGACAACAAAAAAATGATTCAGGACTATTTAGAAGAAGTAAGAAAAAATTTACTTCAAACAATCACTCAGATAGATAAATCTGATACTTCAATGAGAAGCGAAACAGGTGTTGATACCACCGGAGAATCGCAGCAAGCAAAAATTGACAAGATGCTAACCACTATCGAGTTACAAGATGCGGAAGATTTCCTGCAGCAAGTGAAAGCCATGGATGAAAGACATGGAAAAGCAACATTAATGAAGAAACATAGCCATGTGAAGACGAGCCCACTCAACAGGAGATACACTGTTGCCAGAGCCCACTCAACAGTAGAAACACTGTTCTTTAACAGTAGATAAACTGTTTAGGGACCCAGATAGTGGGACCCCTTTACTGTACATAGATTCCTTATGTTTTTTTTTTTTAATTTTGTCTATATAAGCCTTAGCTTTCTTTGAGAGAAGGGCATCAGAAAAAATCATAATCGCTCTTTCTTTTTTCATTGTAAATCTTTTGTAAAGACATCTCTCTGAGTACTGTTTCGATATCCGAAATATAAATAAAATCGGTCAGTTCTACATACTTGGGTGTTGGTGACAACCGTCCTTAAAAAAGGTATTTTCTTTTCTTTTCTTTTATTTTAGTGTTGTCTCTCCTAGCTAGGACTATGTCCGGCTAAAGATTTCATATCTATGTTGAATAACTAACTTCTCTCCTATATAGACCATGAACGGATCTAAGCTTTATTTAAATATAAATGAATTTTAGTATGGATTATCGACTTGGTTCTGAGATCGAGGTATAGTTGGATCTAGTACTACTCTTATTGGCTATGCCTTAGTGGCTCCGTCTGTCCAACCGAGGTTCTTAGCCTGAAAAGGAGTTTAAAGTAGAGCGCCTTATACCCGGTTAGATCTGCCAGACACATGGGCTCAATAAAATGTATGTATTAGATTCCTGACAGACCCTTTGCTCAGGTAAAAATATCACCATGCAGTCCGAGAAACTATGCCAAAATTCTTGTGTATTTCGATTCTTTTGCAGGCGGACTATCGCTAGCTTAAGGATGCTGAGTTTGCTAGATCCATGACTGGGCGGACTACCTCCAGGTCACAGATCCTGTAAAGCTAATCAAGAAAAGACAATTTTTTTTTACCTATTATACCGTCGATTAATTACTCTAAACAAGGTAGAACTTCTTGAAAATCTTAAGTTTTTAATTCATCCACTTCATAATTAATAAGGGTAAAATGGTAAACTCACTATGTCAATCATTGTTTTCTTAATATGTGTCAATTTAAAAGTGGATAAGTAATTAGGGACAGAGGGAGTATATAATACTACTCCATATTTTTCCAACATTTTCTTAGTTAGGAATTACAAAATTAAGATGCCACATTTCACTACTTGTTGTAGTTTTAAAATGTATGATAACAATATAATCTTTTTTAAAATTAAAAATCAAAATTATCGAACTTCATCTGCATGTCCGCCCCTACTTTCAGTATATAAATATATATATACACACACAGAAAGTAGGGGTGGGCATGCAGATGCAGTTCGATAATTTTGATTTTAGATTTTAAAAGAGATATATATTCTAGATACAAAAGTACAGACAAGTTCGTGCCCGATGTATATTATTTTATTTATTTTAATTTTATAAATTTGTTGTTAATTGTTCTTATAATATTTTAAATGTACTTTTTAAATAATATATGTGGCAGATGTGATATTTTGAGAGTGCTAATTTACAAACAGCTGCAATAAATCTAAAATGACTAAATTATCCTTGAACTCAAATTTTATTTCAGGGAAGCACACATGTCAACCGAGACGTGTTTGATTATTTTAGTAGTGGATATATATATATATATATATATATATATATATATATATTATTTTTATTTATTTATATTTGGTTAGAAAAAGGGTGTGTGAGTTTTTTTCCCTAATGGTCCTATTATCCAGTATCAACAAAAATTATACATATAACATGCATAATAAAAAAAATATTCCTTCTTAGTTCTGAATCCTGAGAGTGGTTAGTGATAAGATACTACTCCCTCCATTTTAATTATCCTAGATGGCTTAAGCTTATCTTTGATAAAAAGAAAATAAGACTTTACTTAGATGGTTTGACACATTTAGCTTTCGATCGAGAAAATTGGGAGTAAAAATGTGCTTATTTTAGCTACAAGTTGAAGCAAATTTATTCGCTGTTAAATTCGACTCTACGATCATATATACAGGCAAGAACTGCTCTAATGCTACCAGCTCTTTTTTCATCGCAAATTTTGCCACTTAGTATTAAAAAATTGTCAAGTCATTCTAGTTATATTCTTCTATTTCTCAAGGAAGCGGTATGTAAATTATGTGGTTTTTCAATCTCTCGATAAGTAGTTGAAACAAACTAGAAATTCAATTCACAAATAACAAATTAGAATAAAAGAATATACATAAAATGGAACGGATGGAGTGATAAATGTCTTACTAACCTGCAAAAGCTGGTTTGCAAGGTCTATAGAAATGAGTCCAGCACTGCAACCCATGCCGCTAATAGTGTAAGTGAGAACATTCGATCCAAGCTTGTAATGGTTAACTATCATGGATGGTATGCCAATATTCACTATAACTATCAAAATTTCACGAGCCTTCACTTTTGTTTTCGCCAATAAATCGTCTATGGCTCCAAACATGACTTTTTCTGTTTCCTTCTTTGACTCTTCAAACGTCAATAACTTTTCAGGTAACCTTCTGATACCCTCTGGAATAAACGTTTTGTCACTATAACCACTTCTCTCCAATACTTTCTTCTGTAAATGTACAACCTCCTCGTTAAAAGTTGATGACATTATGTCTAAGAGTTGTTGTTTGCTCATCATATCCGCCTCGTTTGGTTTGTAACATGCAAAATTGACAAAAGTAAATGTTTCTTGGACGACCCCTGACCAAGTATAGCGTGACTAAGAAAATAATAATAATAATTGGCCAAGAATTCAACATGGGAATAAATAGTTATGAGGGAATTTATTTATTTTTGGGGAATTTTCGCACATAGCCACTCAAAAGTAACTTAATTATGCTCCATAACTATAGTTTGTTAATTATGATTCGTAGCTACATGCTAGAGGGAAAAGAGAGGCGAGCGAGATTGGGAGAGGGAAGAGAAAGGTGAACGAGAGAGTGGAGAGACGCGAATTGTGTATGTATATCTATCGAATTGTATATGTATATCTGTTAAATAATTGTATATATGTAACTGGTATACATATATATTTGTATATCTGGCGAGCAAGATGTAACGATCTGTTCCCGTCGTTATAGAAAAGCTAACGGGGAAAATTTTTGTGCGGAAAAACTTTTTGGTAGTAACTTGAAATTTTCCAACCTAGTCTAGATTTGGACGAAATCGAAGTAAGTGAGGTCTAGGGAAATCTGGCAACAAATGGGAGATCTAATTATGAATTTGTTCACATGAGTAGATAGCTAAGACGTTAAGAAATCCGTACGACTTTATGGAATTGAATTTGGGCAAGTAGAACTCTTGAAACTGATCTTAGCGTGAAAGAGTATTTTCTGAGTGTCATGGGATGAAGTTGAGTTGTGAAATGGGGGCTTGAAACTCTTAAATCGACTCACTGGTTCCGTGCAAGCCGCCAAGGCGAAATGGGGACCGCCATAGCAGGCCAGTCGCGAATGAAGTCAGAAATAAACCCCAAAATCGTTATTTTCTGCAAGTTTCGTTCTTGAGAGCTAGGAGACGATCCCAAGTGTGTTCTTGATGGTTTTTCACCATTCTTGAGGCTAAAGGTAAGATTTTCACTCCCCGAATCCATTTTTCGATCCGTAGAATGTAAATTCATGGGTAATTATTGTTGGGGAAGGGTTTTGGAGTTATTTGGATGGTGGAAAAAGCCCTAATTTGTATATTGGGATCATGAGTTTGGATTAAGGTTGATCTTATTGGTTATAATCCGGGTAATTAGGTCTTGTTATTGATCCTCGTGTTATATTGATTGTTTGTAGACCAAGAACAAGCGAAAAGAATCCGAAAAGGGAAGAATCAAGTTTCTTAGGGGATTCAAGTTTAGTTCGAGGTAGGTGATAGTTGTGATTTCATGTTGGTGTGATATATATTTGTAATTACTTCATTATATTACATATATGTATGTGAATGCTGCATTATTGATCACACTAATCGTAAATGAGGATGATTGAATAATTGTATGCCATGAATCATGACTTTATTGTATGATTATGAGAATGTACATTGTGATTGTGATTGTGGCTTGTTGAATGGATCGGGTGTTACTTTCCAACACACTAACTTGGATCGGGTGGCACGTTCCGGCGCATATATGGGATCATGTATCACATCCGGCACACTAACTTGGATCGGGTACCACATACCAATACACTAACAGTTTGAGTATGATTTCCGTGAGAGGACCAATGACTTGGCATAATTGTATATCTTAAGATTGTCAAATTGCACGTTGTTTATAAGTGATAATTGATATTGTATATGTTTGGTGAATGCATGTGTATTATTATTGTGTAATGACTTATATATGTTTCGCCTATTGGGATAGCCGCGTGATCATACCAGTACACTGTGGTTGTGTATTAATTCTGCACTTGCTCTTTCTTTGTTAAGTACATGACATCTTCAGACGACTATTGACAGACCTCGTTTAGAAGACCAATGATCTACTCGAATTCAAGGGTGAGCCAGTTCCTCCGGGCTTCCATTTGTTCTCTTTTTGTTTATGTCATCTTCAGACTTAGACTAGTACTTTAGATTTTCTTATGTTTAATTGGGTTGTACCCATTTCCTTTAGACTTATGATCCTTGTTAGAGTTTTGGTACGTTGACTTTCAGGTTCTAGGCATTATTTCCGCATTTGGTTGTTAGACTTTTGTTGGAGTTTATGAGAACTCTATATGTCACGCCCCGAGCTACCCCCGAGACGCGGACACGGGACCTAGGACCACAAGTGATCCCAAGCTAACCCTGCTGGCATGATCATGAGCATACTAAAGAAAATAAACTGATGCGGAAGCTAAATCATAAATAAATCTGAAAAGATGGGGAATACCCATATACTATAGCTGAATATATGAAATCTGAGAGTTTAATACAAAAGAAATATCAAACTCAAAACACTAAGCTGAGTCTAACTATGTCTGAAATAAGCCTCTAAACTGACTAGAAATGTTGGGACATGCCCCCAACTAGATCTAGCAAAACTGAAACTAAAGACTGAAATACTGAAAAGAAACTCATGACTAGTGTCCCCGAAGAATGAGGACTCACCAACTGATTCTGCTGAACTGAAGATCGGGAATCGATCTAAGCGTGATCTGGATGCTGAGAACCTGAACCTACATCACGAGAAGATGTAGCGCACGTATGCGTCAGTACTTGAAAGGTACTGAGCATGCAGGATGGAGTAAAGCTGAAATAACATATAACTGAACAAAGCATACTGAGCAATGATATAATCTGAACATGATATAGATACTGAAATACTGAATACTGAGCTAACTGAATGCAATGACCAAATTTATAACATGCTGAGACTGAATACTGACTGTACTGAAATATGGTCAATGCAATAGAGTTTGACTAAACTGTGGAAGCTACTAATAACCGACATAAAACCACATGAGCTAAATGTGGAGTCCGATGTATACGCCCCATCGAGAGGACCCAATATACCCTGCCAGAGGTATAGAGGCATGCTGGCGTGATCACTAAACTGATGTTGCCCACAGAGGGGACTTACACCTACGTGGCTCGTAGTTCTGGGACTATATGGGTACGCTGAAACCCTAGTCCAACTCGGTATTATGCTACTCCCAATAAATTAAGTAGTTAACTGGTTATGACTGAATTTCTGTAAATACTGGATAGCTCGAACTGAACATGCAAACTGAGAATGCAACAATTAATCTGATAATGATGCATTCATAAACTGAGGCATGTAAAACTGAATACTGAAATATCTGACCTAGCATGTATAATTCAAGAACTAAAGAAATACATAGCTAGGGTTCTGAAATTCATGCGATAAACTGAGCAATAACATGATAATCTGATTTGGAACATTTAAATAACTAATTCGTGATGATCTGCTATAATTCTAGAAACCCTAGGTCTGTTCATAATCATGGAATCAAGAATCTGACTGAATTCTAGGGACTTAATGGGCGAAAGGAACCCACTAGTGAAATCCCACATACCTGGCGATGAATTCCACGGAGAAATCTTTCAATTTCGGGGCTGGAACTGATGGAACCTTGCTGCGTTCTTGAACTAGGGTTCTTGACCTTTTTCTCCTCTCTTGCTTCTAATTCTTCTAAGTTTGATTAATGATTTGACTTAGGTAAGTTCTAGTTATGTTTCTAGGCTTAAACTAATTAAAACCTCATGATTTAGGGTCTAAACGACGTATCTTAGGGGTTAAACGAAATAGGAAAAGACCAAAGGACCCCTGAATTAACTGCTGTCGGAGTGACCGACGGTTTGGACCTACGGGCCGTAGGTCAATCTACGGTCCGTAGATTGGGTCCGTAGTTCGAGTCTGCCCGACAGGTCTTCACTTAAACGAGCATAACTTTTTACTCGGAGGTCGGAATTTAGCAAACTCGGTGGAGTTGGAAAGGTAATTCAATTATCTATCTAACCATAGGTCATGGGACACATAATTCATTTTGTGCTAAAAGTTATGACCATCTGAAGTTGACCCATCAGAATTTTCAGCTAACTGGCTGCTATCCTTCGATCTACGGTCAGACCTACGGACCATGGATCGAATGACGGTCCGTGCTGGTCGACCGTAGTTTGTGTCAGAGGCTGGTAAAAGAGGTCTTGATCCACGGACACAGACCACGGACCGTGGTCTGATCTACGGACCGTGGGTCTGTCCGTGGGTCGAGACTTAGCCAAATTTTCTAAGCTGGTTTGGGGAGGGGTTGCAGTGGTGAACCACGGTCCACCAGCACGGGCCGTGGTCTGACCTACGGTCCGTGGAAGGTGACCGTAAGTTGCACCTGCAACTTCTCAAAATCTGCATTTTCGTCTGTTTCGAATACGGGGTGTTACACTATATTTTCCTTTTCTTAGACATTTAAACCTGCTTCCGTATCTTTAAATGCCTTAGTTTTTGGTTGAGTTGTTTAGTCTGGGTTGTAGTAATGGTTCTCCCACCTGAGGGTTAGTGTGGGTGCCAATCACAACGGTCTGGGTCGTGACACAAGATTTAGAGATGGAGAAGAGAGAAAAGCGAGATTGGGAGAGAGAGGAGAGAGGCAAGCGAGAGAGGACAAAGAGTGGAGAGAGAGGCTAATTGTATTTGTATATCTGCCAGATAATTGTATATATGTAACTGATATACATATGTATTTAGTTATCTGGCGAGCGAGATTGGGAGAGAGAGGAGATAGGTGAGCGAGAGAGGCTAATTTTATGTAAATTTTACACAACTCTCATAGTGTTAAGAGATAATTACATCATATCCCTACTCTTTACCAAATTACAAAAATCCCTTAAATTTGGTGGAATCCGGATACATCCCAAAACACCATGATACATCGCATCTCGATTTTAGATATATCCCTCAACGTCCTTATACATCGCGCCTTGATTTCAGTTACATCACTCAATGTCCCGATACATTGCGTAAAGTGATATATTCGACCGATACATCACATAGATTAACGTTTCAATACATTGTGTACGTCCCGATACATCACATAAAGTGATGTATCCGACTGATACATAGCGTAAAGTAGAGATTTTTATATTTTTTTTAAATGATAGGGAATTTAGAGAAAATAATAAAATAAGTTGTGTATTTAGGTAAATTTTCCTAATTGT